ATAAGCTCTGTATTTCTGAATCAGAGAGCTGTACCTGGCAATTTCCAATTTTATATATACACCTATGTAGGTATTTACTGTAAAACTAGACTCCTAGCATAATTTTTCTGAAACTTGTTTCAAGAAAGGTCATTTTAAAGTGATATGATTATGCATTTCAGATGATCAAAATAGAGATATTTAAAGAAATCTGAAAGTATCAAAGGCAGTAAAATCACAATGAGGTTTTCACCAAATCATAATCAGTGAAAGGTAATTACTAGAAAACAAAGGGATTAGGTAAAATAAGACTGGTTGAGAAGGATTAAAATATTTAATAACACTAATTTTCCAAATACTTCATAAGTATTCATATGCATAAACAATAACTGCTTTGTAATTGGTTTTAAAACAATCTTACCACAATTAATTCAAATTAATGACATTTTACTATCTTCATTTTTAATTGCTTTGCACAACTTAACAATAAAAATATGTAGAACAAAACAACCATAAGATCTACTTCAATAAAATTTTATGAGTTAAATTTTAACTCAAAATCCTAATTCTGGTGTAGCAGAAAAGCAGCCAAAAAAGTTGGACAATTTGCAACTTAATATTGTATCTCTCAACTGTGTCAATATTTAGTTTAAAACAACACTGTAGAATAAAATGCAAAAGCACAGCCAACAAGATGCCTAAGTACAAAAAGTAACTTCCAATTTAAGAAAAAGCCTTATTACAAAACTTCAGACTCACAACTGTACACTGATTCAACTTTAAACCTACTTTCTCTTAAAGAAATATAAACATCGTTTTGATTACTTTTCAGAAGTGTTTAAGTGTACTCAAATATGATTTCTAAACTACAGAAGACAATTATGACTCTAATCAGAAGTTTTGCCCTATGGAAGAATGATTTTATGCAACTGTCCATCTAACAAATTTAATACACAAAACCTAATAGTAAAATATACAAATGTGAATGGGTCACATTCATGGTTATAGAATTATGGTAGTATAATATTCCTATGTATTTTAGATTTCTTATGATTGTTTACTTGAGAGATAGAGATCAAATCTAAGAGTTAAAAGCAATAACCAATTGTTATTAAAAACTGTGTAAAAGGCTCTTAAAGGGAAAAGACTGTAGTAACTTACCTGCAACACTAGTGATTGTAACTGGAACTCCTTGCACTTGAACACCTGCAGCGCCCAGGTTGGCAACGCTCACTGTCTGAAGATTAGGCACTGATGCAAGCTGGGCAGTATTCAAAGTTATTGGGGCACCAGCAACAGCCACAGGAGCAATTTGTGCAAGAGTTGTGCCACCACTTGAAGACACTGGGGTGATGGTTAATTGTTGGGATAACCCAGCATTCTGAACTTGCAAATTTGACAGACTTTGAATATTCTGAACCTGTACAGTTTGCCAACTGATTTGCCCTGAAGGTGTTAAAGTTGGAGCCCTGATAAGCACCTGAGTCGGATTTACTGCTTGAAGTTGAACATTCTGCAAAGGCTGCTGCTGGATGGTCTGAATTGTCTGCCCTGACTGGAGCTGAAAGGACTGTGGTGGAATAGCCTGAATGATCTGTTGCTGAGGCTGTTGGATCTGGATCTGCTGTAAAATAGGCTGGCCTACAATCTGTACCTGCTGAAGAGAATTCGATTGCTCCTGTGCATTCTGTATTCCATTAGACTGAAGCTGACTGGAACTCTGGGCTTCAGACTCAGTAGCAGCAGGTGTTTGAGATTCTTCAATAGTGCGTTCAGAACTACTGGCTGATGTGCTTGCATACTGGCCCGTATCTGCTGAGCTCACTAACGTGTCACTGCTTGTCAGAGACGTGGAAGCAGTGGTTGTGCAGGTAGTGGAGGAGGAGGGGGATTCCGGCATGGTACTGGCAGCAGTGGTGGTGGTGGGTGTGGAAACCAACTGACTCCCATTGGAAGTCCCACTGTCAGTAGTAGTAGGAGGCTGGCCAACCTGTCCAGTCCCTCCTCCAGCAGCCACATTGTTTATCACTGGCAAAGCTAAAGTCACTCCTCCAATGTTAATTGGTAGGGTTGTTACAACTTGAGCCTGAGTACCAGGAAGGGTCTGTAATTGCAGTGGTATTGAAACACCAGGTCTAATTTGGACTGGAACTGTCTGATTTGCCAGGTTTTGAGCAAGTATATTCCCAGAAGCTGTCCTGTTAGCAGCTGTGAGTATAGCTTGATTATTACCTGCAGAAATGAGCTGAATTTGACCCTGCAAATCTTGTAGAGATGAACTACTAGTTGGATTGATTTGAATTTGCTGGCCTTCCACTGTCTGAAGTTGTGGAATCACTTGGTACTGTACACTACCACTTGGATTTTGTACTTGTATGACTTGAAACTGACCAGGGGTAGAAGAATTACCTGATTTAGTTTTTGTAGGAGATGCACTCCCGTTATTACTGCTGGAAGAACTAGATGAACTAGAAGCTGGTTGAGAAACGTTATTTTCTTTTGAAGCAGGAGTGGAGGCAACAAGTTGCCAAGTGTTTCCAGCAAGTTGTGTTGTTACCAGTTCTAGCTGTTGTGGCTGATTTTGAAGTTGCACCAATCCTTGGCTTGGATCTATAATAATCTGTTGTTGTCCAGTTGCTTGATTTTCACCAGGAGTCCCTATTTTGCTGCAAGTAGCTGCCAGTAAAGCCAGAGGAGAGGGCTGAGAGTCCTACCCAAAATGGGAAGGTAAAGGAGAGGGGGAAAAAAAAGTGGTGGATTTAGTGGAGGCCAGTAAGGTGGGAGGGGTTTGTTTATTTATTTATTTATTTATGACAGATCTATATTTCAGTACTCAGGAAGTGCCAGGAATCAAAAAGAAATATTAACAAAAGCAGTAAGATAAAGGAATATGGAAACAGATCCTGTAATATAAAGTTTAAATAAAAGGAAATTTCTAACAAACTTTCTTAAAGTGCTATTTTCCTAAACTCAACATGCCCTTGGGAAAATAAACAGCCGTTTTCTAACAGTCTGAGTTCCTGATGTAATATTAAATGAGGTTATCCCTCAAACACGTGAAACCTTTATGAATTTACAATTTAACTTCCTCACTCTCAGAAAGATGTTTCAAGTGGATAAACATTTTTATTCTGTTCTTTAGTTATGGGCATTTAAAGGGCATAAGTCCCTCTTTCCCCTTATGTTTTGTGATTTTTTTTTTTTTATGTTTGCTTTTACCTGGGAGCCTGAGGTTTTGGGTTTTTTATTGTTATTCTCTGGCTCAGAGGTTTTCCCTCCTTCTGCAGCCATCGCCGCCGCCGCCGCCGCCGCCGCCGCCTCCTCCTCCTCCTCCTTCTTCTGATCTGCAACAAACCCCCCCGCACAAACACCACGCGACAACAGGTTATTAGGATTATCATTATTCGTCTCCCTCCTCTCCTTTGCTGCCCCTCCCCGCTAACAGTGATCTGCCTAAACCCGCCATCCACGCACACCGGCAGGGGGTGGGGGAGAGGAGGGAAGGGAGGAGGGGGTATCACAAAACGTGGTTTGAAACCCGACCCATCGGCTCCAGAGCAACACCCAGAAGGTTGTTCTCTCTCAGACATTAAGACAAAACACAACCCTCTTTCCCTCCCCCTGGTACCCTCCCTCCCTCTCCTCCTCCCCTTAGAGCATCTCAGCGGCCCCGGGGGAGGGGGAAACCGTGCAGGGTCTGGGGAGGGAGGGGGGCGGTGAAGGAGACCGAGGGGGGTGGAGAATACGTACCGCTCATCCCGCATTAACAGGACAAACCCTCAGACGGAGACACTGGGATAGAGGTGGGTGGGGGTGGGGGCGAGGCGGGAGGAGAGGCCGGTCCCGCCCGCCCGCGGTGGCTCGGAGGAGGCTGTAGCTGGCACAGGCTCTGCCTCTTTTTCCGCGAATGGCCGCCGCTGGGCTGTGGCGTAGCAGCTCCTCTCTCCGCCCGAGCCCGGCTGACTCGCCCTTGATTGACAGCGGCGGCGCGGGGCGCGGGTGGCGGCGCGGGCCAGGGGCGGAGCCAGGGCGGTGCGAGCCCGGCCGACTCCCCACCCCCCTCGGCCTCTCTCCGCCGAAGCCGCCGACTCTCCACCCCTTCCCCCAGCGGATTGGCCGCCGACCTGCCGGGGGCCGGGGCGCTGGGGCCGCCTCCTCTCCACCCCCTTTCCCGGGGTAATTCGTTCAGCAGCTTTTCTTATCCTCCCGTGGCTCCTCCGGAGCTCTTTCTCTTAGCGTTCTAGCTCAGACGCGCTGCCGGTAGGCCCTCCATACAGCCAAACTTGTTGTCTCAGGATATCCCGCCCCCTACTCATTTCCCAGCGCAACCCCCCAAAAAAACCCGCTCCAGCATCTCTCTCAATTGCCACTAAAGAAAAAAGTAGGGCTGTAGCTCAAAGGAAGCGAGAGAAGCGGCAGAAGAAGCGCGCGGAGCACCAACGACTCGCTACCCCGGGGAACTAGCCGCTGCCCCTGCGCAGGGAGCATGGCTTTCCTGAGGCTCATCCGGACCCGGGCGCCCTTTTTCCCTGGCTCGGTCTCCATTGGCTGAGCCCCTGGTGACGCGCGCTCAGTGGTGGGAGAAGGGGGCGGGGCGATGCCGCAGGGTCTGTTGGCCCTTGTAGTTTCCGGAGACCGCGGCGGCCGCTCCAAGGCACCGCCTTCCCTCCCGCCCCCAACCGAGGCCCCGCTGCCGAGCGGTCTGCTGCCCGAGGGGGCGGTGGCGGCAGGGCGTGGCCGGGGCCGAGTGGGAGTTGAACTGAGCGAGGGGGAGGGGAATGGGTGTTGTTTGTCGGGGCCTATCCGCCGAGCGGGGCTGCCCCAACCACCCAGCCACCGCCTCCTCGGCTCCAAGCCGCTCCCCGCAGGGCGAGCTCACACCCGGAGCGCTCGGCGATTGAGCGGGCGGCGACGTGGGGAGGCGGAGTTTGCTGTCCTCCGGGTTTGAAAGAATCCGGCTTCTAGGAGCTGCTCTGTCGCCTTCCCTTTCTTTGCCCACCTCCCTCCGTCAGGTCCGTACTTCAAATCCAAGGCCTGCTTTCCCACAGAGAAGGATCTTCCATTTTATTTGCCGTCTCTGGCCGGCCGCTGTATCTGAGCAAAGACCCTCTTTCCAAGGTGGTACCGTGCTGCGCCGAAGAACCCGCGTAGTTGGCGGACTTCTCACTCTTACCAGTCTCACAAGATTCTCGAGGCGAAGAAAAAGCCCAGCTCCACTTGGGCCAACCGGGGTCACAGTTCAGCATATGCTTCTAGGCAGATGGAATTCACATCTGGCTGCACAAAACATTTTATTATCGAATGCACTTGAGCAGTCGCCTGACCCCAGATTTCCTCCAAAGTCCTGAAGTAGGGATGATGCCAAGGAATAGAATAAGCGCCTGATTAAGTATACTAAATAAAGGTAAAAGTGAATTGCTAATGTAAACACTGGCCTTGGGGACAAGGCACCCTTACACCCAAGTTCACAACCACCCGCACCCTTTTTACCTGGGCTCCACACAGCCTTGAGCGTTTTTTGTCTCTGCCTGAGGCCTTGTATGCTGTAAGAGTGAGGAGGTCCCAGGTGCTGCACTTGACTGGCGTTTCCTTTGCTTGTTAAAGTAATTGCAACATTGGCTGATGACAAAGCCAGCAGAGCATCAAGACAAAGCAATTCGAATAAAGAATTACATAGCATTCTCTAACCCTTCTTAAAATATGATCCTAAGATCCATAAATAATCTTTCCCCACACCACGTACAATACAGAAAGCTCAAAAGTGCTTTTTGCATTTACAGATACACTATCCTTGTTTTGTTTTGTTTTTTGTTTTTCCCAATTCTCTAAGATGAATGAAGGAAGACATTTTGCAGTCTTATGAACTGGGGAATTCCTTGTAGTTTTCTTACCTTAACAAAACCTGCTTTTGTGGGGCAATATAGCTCTGAATCAAAAGTTGAAAAAAGAATGCTTATCTACTCAGTATGGATCTACAGTTTCCGAAATACTCCGCTCTATAGATAAATGTTAATACTGGTATTTGTGAAACATAGTGTAGAGGAGGGAAAATAATTTTTCCTCTTCCCTCCTGAGTTCTTAGCTGAGATCCCTTTAATGAACGATAAACAAGAGAAAAAAAAATGTATTAACATGTATACCTACCTCATTAATCTATTAACATGTATACATGGGAGAGATTAACTCTCCTAAGTGGCATAGAATTCAGGCTTAAATACCATTTTAATAGAGAAAGCGATTGGATGTAGGCCTCTTACAGGAGAGTAAATAATTTTTGGGAAAGATGAATGGGTCTATAGCAAAATAGATGGGACGTATGAGTTTGTGACAAAGTTGTCTGGGTGTGGTCTAGACTTCTAGTCTGCTCTTTATGATAAGACTCAGTCTTCCCTGGTTGATGAAACTCCCTGCCAGGGGATTTATGACAATTGGGTTCTTTTTGGAGGATCTGTCTTTAGGCAGTTAAGGTAAGTTCAGAGAAAACCTCTTTCTGCATTTGCTGTTTTTTAAATGCCTACAACTAAAGTAATTAATATGCCAAAGTAGCCTATTTTGGAGGTGGCTACCCTTCAATAGTTAACAAGCCCTGCTTTTTATGGTGGACCAAAAGCTTCTGATCCCTGGGTAAGCCCAAAGACCTGGGGCAGGTGACCTAAATGAATCACTTCTCAGACACCATCATTTTATCTGTATAATAGAAGGTTTAACTAGATGAGATAGTTTCAAAATTACAGTCATTCTTACACCACCTTCCTAATTTAAGCTCTGTACCACCTATACTATGATTTAATGTTTCTCTTTAAACAAATTTACTCTTATTCCTAACAAATTAAGAAATTGGTATCACCATGATAGATGGAAAGCCAATACCATTTTTTATGGAGGTAAGTATAAATATAAATTCAATAATATCCTCAGCCTCATACCTGGTGGTCCCAGAGGAAGCATTTGGTTTAAAAAGGTTATTTCTACACTCATATTACCCATAGAATGGTCGCTTTCAACCTTTTAATTTTAATCATGACCTAAAAGAATAGATGTATTTTAGATCATGACTACACACACACAGAGAAGAAATGAGCATTTTTACTCAAAATATTTAACAACTTTGAGCAGTGATCACTCAGATCAAACACTGCCTCCATGCTCCAAGAGTATCTTGGAGGCCCCCTGTCATGCATTACCCTTGAAGTTGCTGGATGGAGAGCTCCAGAGGGTGTGGAAACAATGTTGGGCTTGTGGATGGGTCTCAGACAAGAGTCATTTGTCCAGGGGTAACAGCTTTTAGAGCCATATCAATATGCATTAGTTGAATATAAACCAATATGTTAACTGAAACAGAGTTTCAAAAAAAAATTCTTCTTACTGCCCTGTCTCTCCCCACTTAAAGAAAAGAAAAAAAATACTAGTAACAACCCAGAGTTTGAAAAAAATGTCCTATGGACTTTTTTTTCTCCCTTCCACCTTTGTGGAGCAGGTAGTTCATATTTCTAATGATACTGCTGAACAAGTCTAGAATCTAGGTAGATTTACTGTGCATTGCTTTGCATACCTAAATCAATTCTCAGTCTCCTTGTGGAAAAATGCTGCTGGAATTTTTCACAGATCCCTTTCAGATACAAAATACCTCCTGGTCCACACTTTCTAGGACCTAGCATTTCTCAACTGACCTTTCATTCAGTCAACAAGTCTTGAATGTTCATATAATCATGTTGCAACCACCATTCCTTATCCCCCATTGCAAGCCCTTAGCTCTTTGAGGGGTAAAGAAAGCCAGGGCTCTTTATCTCCCAAAATGCTGAGGATACATTTAGTCAGATGTAAATAAACATGCTTATGGATGAATCAATGAAGCAACTCCAGAGGATATTTAATATTATAGAAGAAAATGAGGCCCAGACAGATGACTTGAATAAAAGAAAGGTACGAATTTTGAGCATCTCCATGAAGAAGCTACTTGTGGAAATAATTGTTAAATTGCTTCATTTTGTTTTGGGGAAGCAGAAAGCAAAAGCTTTGGAGAGGCTACAAACCAGGGAAAAGTCAAAGTTTAACATCCATCTCTGCTTCAAAGTGGAATAACTGCAAGTGTAGTCAACCTGGAATTGGCTCAGTGAGCATTTTTTGTGTAGAACAAGCAGCTTTATTAGTATATCTAAGAGCCCATGCATAGTTCCTATCATAAAAAAATCAGTGTATAAAATTACATTAAAAAATAAATTATTTAAATACCAACAATAATTGTATTCAGGAAGCAGAGAATGTTTTATACATTTAATTGTAATGTAATTGGCACCCAAATATAGAACAATTATATGAAAATAGATAAAAGAGGTGACCATATGTATAGGCCTTTAAAGAGTTATTAACAGTATTTGTAACTGACACTGTCAAATAGTGCATAAAGAGCCCTTCAGACTGCTGTGTTTCTCCAAGAAGAGTTGATGGCATTGCTGTTCCTCATACATACTTAGCTCTTTCATGGATTGTTCATGCACAACTTCAGGTTTAATTCATAATTTTTAAATGTGTAAAGCTGATGATTTTAACCCAGTTACATTTATTCATTCATACTAGAACATAATTAATAGCTGTTGGTGGTTAGCAGGGCATAGTATAAACGACCTATTCAGTATTTTATATCAATTTATATGTGTCAAGGAGTAAATTGAGGCTCATTGTTGCCACAAAACAAAAGATATTTGGTCACTGTGGAAGTTGAGACATAGATACATTAATTTTCCTTAGACTATATACAAAATTAATGATTAAATATGAAGATATAAAGCACAAATGCCTGGTGTGTTTGCCAGTGTAACTTTCCAAAAAATGTCAATTGTATATGCCCAATTTATTATATTTTCTATTAATACAGGACACTTTCATTAGGTTTTTGTTTAAAGAGTATTAACACTGGAATCAAACTAGTTGGATTTAAATTCTTGTCTGTTATTAAACGTACAGCCTTGGACAAATGACTTTAACCCCTTTGAGCCTCATTCCTTCATCTATAAAATTATAAAGATGATAATATTACCATCTCATGGGGTTGTATGAAGAATCAGATGAGATTATAGTTAGGATATTCTCTGGCATGTGGAAAACTCTCATTAAATGTTACCTATCATTTTTACCATTATTATTTATACTATTACTAAGATAGTAGTTGCAACAAGCCAAACACAGAGTAAAACCCTCTCTTTCCATCCACCTCTATTCTAAATATTAATAGCAACTGATTGACAAATTCTTTCTCACTTATACCTGGTTTACACAAATTGTATATGCAAATTTGCCTTTTTTTACTTAATATATAATGGGTGTGTCTCCAGGTCAAAAAATATAAATCAAAATCAGTATTTTCATAGCATTTACTACTCCATGGTATGAATACATTAGTCAATAAAAATACCCTTCTTGATAACCACTCAAGTTGTTTATTCTCTTCATCCTGCCATTAATAATTTGCAATAAACTTACTTGATTCAAATATATTCTTTTATGTTACTATTTATTTTATTTCCAACTGTGGTTTTTAGTAGAAAAATTTCCAACAGTAGGACTGCTTTCACCAAGGGTATGCATATTTAAAATGTTCACACATACAGTAAAATCACTGTAAAAAAAGTTATTTCATATATTCAGGGAATGGAGTGTGCTCATTTCCCTGTAATTTCACCAGCACTGATTATTCCTGACCTTGTGAATTACTGAAGATCTGATGGTGAACAGTGTACTCACCTGACTGCCAGAGGTTGAGCCTCTTCACATTTGCTTAGTGGCCTCTGCATTTCCCAATGCCGCAAATTAGCCATTCCTATGCTTGCCTCTTTCATTTCTTATGGTTTTCTTTATCTTCCCCTAATCAATTCCTAGGAGCTGATTATAGTGATAATATTAAACCTTTGCTTGTCATTTGTATTATGGTAATATATTTTTCCCAATCTATTGTTGGTTTCTTGCCATTTTTCTGCTAATACACTTTAAACTCTATTTCAGAAAGCGTAACACCAACCTAAATGAATGCTTTTTATAGTTTAGTAAAATATGTTTATATACATGGATAAGTACCTTTTACACTATTCAGGTAGAAGTGTTTTCTCCACTGGAGGAGTGGATTATCTCTCTACCTACCCCTTACTTCTCCATAACCATTCCTCCCCTGTCTTTTACACACATAATCTGAAATGCCTACAAGAGTGCTTGGACCATCAAGGCATTCAATACATATTTATTAAGTCAACAAATTTTC